CACAGATCGATGCTCAACCACTGAACCACACTGGCTGGGCCCGTTTTTCTTTTATAAACTATGTTTTATATTGAAAGAAAATCCTTCTTTTATGGTTCCATTGTTGAAACATGGATACATTATGTACATACCACTTCTGAAGAAACAATCTGTACAAAATTTGAGTTTATGGGATAAATATCACACACACACAAAATTAAATTCTAACAAAGTACTTATTTTCAACAATCCACACAACATGAATCATCAAACAAGGCAACCCAAGCTCAAAATACAAGCTCTTAAAGGACACTGTAAGAATATAAAGATTTGAGAATTATGGAAGGTAGGTAGCAAGTCAAAAGTTTGCAAGTGAGGCAAGCCTGCCTAACAAGTCTGCTCATCTGTTTCTTCTGTCTGCAGCTCACACTTTGGAAATTCACACTTGGCTCCTTGTCAGTCACTTCCCTCCAGACCTTCCCAGGACAGCAGAGCAGACTGGTCCAGGAACTCCTTCAAGCCTTTCACAGTAACCCATCTACAAACTAATGCTACTATTAAAATTAGAGATCTTCTCCAGTAAATGTTATAAATGATACCATTCCCAAAACCTTCTTACCAGCTACATAATGTAGCTCAACCTGAGTACAACCATTTCCAGATAGGAAGACGGCCAGGAGTGATTGCAGAAGCCAACAGGCCTGGGCTCCCTCGTTCTACCCAGCAAGGTATGTATTCCCATACTTCTTCCTCAGCACCGCCTGACCTGGTCTGAAGACAAAAGGAGGCGAAGGCTGCGCTCCTGGAGCAACTCCAAGGCAGTGTGAGGCAGCAGTTCAATGCCGGCACCTTCAGGAGTGCTAGTGAGAAGGAAGGTGTGTTGTCAGGGGGCTGGAGGAGCAGAATGGAGGGAGGGGTGATGCTGGTGCTAGTGCGAATACTAAGAGCCAATTGGGCAACTTTCTTCGCTGAGGAATGGCCAGGGTGGATTTCTGCACACGCAAAAAAACACACAAAACAGCCCGAGCTGGTTTGGCTCAGTGGATAGAGTGTCAGCCTGCGGACTAACGGGTCCCAGACTCGATTCCCGGGGTTGCAGGCTGGATCCCCGGTAAGGGGCGTGCCGGAGGCAGCCAATCAACGATTCCCTCTCATCATTGATGTTTCTACTTCTCTCCTGTCCTATCTGAAATCAATTTAAAAAAGTATTAAAAAAACACACAAAATAAAAACCATAGGATAAGTCAGAATGATGGCATTAAGCTTTTTTACTACCTTGTTTCTGCACGCTCAAATGCTTTTTATTCAATTTTAGGTGGAGAGCTTCCAGTCAAGGGGGCCTACTCACATGTCGGAACACATACAACATGGCATCATCACACTGTGCCATGTATGTTCATGAAGAAGAAATACTCTGCGAACGAAACAGGCTTCAAACATCACATTTGCAATATCTGTTTTTGAAACGGGCTATTGCCCAACTCTCCCGAATCTTGAAATCGGTAACAGTAACCTAGGAGCCCTGACACAGGCCTAGCCCCTGGGCAGCTTCGAAAAAGCAACACGACCAATAGGAAGAGAGCTCCCACCGAAAAACCACGTGCCTCTCAGGAGGAAGTCCCTTCTTCACCATCTCATTTCCCCACAGTTCACTTTCAGGGTCAGGGCGACAATGTAAATATTTCTAAACACCAGGGCGGACACCCTGCATTTACTTGCGTCACTCGTGGAAGAGCTGGGATCCCGTCCTCGGGGACCCACACGTGAAAACAGTGTCCCCTTTAATAGGAACACACAGAGTCCGGAGCCAAACAACGGGGCCATTCAACGGCCCACGGCCCAGCGGACGCGAGGAGGCCGAGATCCGCGAGCGCCAGGGCCTGCAGGTGGGGGCAAGGGCGAGCCTGCATTTCGGGGCATCTCGGAACCATCCACTCCCACCTGATCCCGAGTGGGTGGGTGGGTGATGGATGGGAAGGAGGATGCCGGCCAGTCCCTCCGCCGGGAGTCAGGAGCAGGCCTCGGGCGGCAGGTCCTCCAACTCGCCCCGCATCCATCCCCGCGCCGGCCCCGGTCCCGGGCTGAGAACCGGTGCCCAGGCCGGAACCCGCCGCCCCGCCCGGCATCGCGCATCTCTCCGCG